CCCCCGGGGGTAAATTGTAGCCAGTGAGTGTGGCTGCACTGAGGAACACTACAAACACCTGCAGCAGCTCCAGCGAGACTTGGGGCCCTATCACTTCAACGTGCTGGCCTTCCCCTGCAACCAGTTTGGGCAGCAGGAGCCCGGCAGCGACAAGGAGATCGACAGCTTTGTGCGCAGAGTCTATGGAGTCTCCTTCCCTCGATTCAGTAAAATAGCAGTGGTCAGAACCGGAGCCAACAATGTCTACAAGTACCTTGTTGGTGAGTGAGATGTGATGTTGTGGTGTTTTCTTTATGGAATAAAACATCTGGAAGACGACCAGGGTATAGCACAGTGGACTGCATCAATATAGGGACAGTGTTATTTAGGAATTTCAAATACTAAGTGGCAACATACACACACAGTATATGTGAATCTGAAATGCCATATGACAGTAGTATAGTGTTAACCACAAGCTAAACTAAACTAGTTACACACAAAACATCCAAAAACATTAAACATGTTTAAATGGTTTCATGTAAATTAGTAAACCAATACGAGGAAAAAGTTTTGTCTGGAAAAACTTTGTACCGTTACAAAGTCAAGTGACATTAATGACAATGAAGTGCAGCAGAAGGAATTACAGTAAGAGTAGTGTACAAAGCTAAGAGGAAAAAGAGCAGAAGGGTAGAACAGAATGAAATACTTCTGGTAAGAATAAAGAAATGAAGACATGAAGAAAGAAGGGAAAATAGAAGTGATTAGAAGGAAAGAGCTACAGAAAAAAGGCAAGACAGGAAGAGGCCGACAAAAACAATAAAGAGACAGTTCAACATTTTGGGAAATGTGTTTCTTCACATTCTTGCTGAGAGTTAGATGAAAATGTTGATACTCACCTTTGTATGTTATATGTGAAACTACAACCAGCAGCTGGTTAGCATAGCTTAGCACAAAGACTGTCTGCAAAGGGAAACGGCTAGCCTGGCCCTGTCCAAAGTTAACTAGCTGTTAGCTTAATCAATACTGTACAGGCATGACAGTGGTGTCAGTCTTCTCTTCTCTGCCAGAGACCTTTCAAGCACATTTTTGTAATGTTAAATGAGTCCTTCGAAAATAGGTTTTGGGCAGGTGGTGAAGGTTTTAGCAAACAGCACTTTGTTCTTTTTACTTAAATCTACTTCAACTGTTCTCACTGTCTGCAGAGTCCTCTGGAAAGGAGCCTGATTGGAATTTCTGGAAGTATCTAATCGATGTAAATGGCAAAGTGGTGGACGCATGGGGACCAAACATTTCTGTCAAAGAAATCCGACCCAAAATAGCTGAAATGGTGCGGCAGATAATCTTAAAGAAAAAAGAAGAGCTTTAAGCCGTTGTTCCAGCACCATTCACTACACAGTGTTCTGCAGGAGGTGATTTAATTTCATTGGTACATGAACCACATGGATAAAGTCACAAGGCAAATTGTGCTTGCTTTCTGAAAGCACTGATGACACACCATGTTTTTAAAGTCAGCGTCAAGTTTTGAAGCTGCAGGTTTGAAGTTTGTTTCCCTGTTTGTTAGTCATATGGATTATGTTAGATTTTTTTTACTCATTCTAATTTGTGGAATAAACTTTTCCTGTGATGAGAGCATTGACTTTATCTTACACTGTTTTATTTGATAGACATTTTCAGAACATATGTTATTTTTGAGTCCAATCCTGTGTTGTTTCAAACACATTTATCTTTCTGCTCCTTTTGAGGTCATCATTACAGGATGGCACTTCACTTTAGTCCCTCTCTTTAGCATTTCTAAGCACTTTTAATATTTAATAAATGGTTTATAACACACAAATTTCTAATAAGTGGTTTATAACACACTATAATTTTATTGTAAGCAGCAGTAAGTGAATATAATGCAACTAGGATATTAATACAAATATGTCTACATAGTCAAAGCTCACTAAGTACAGCACATTAAAAAGGCTCTTATAAACATCCTTAGTGCTGTATCCAGGTAGATTATAGTGTTATTTAATGTTTATATAATGCTTATAAATGATAAAGGGGACTTAATAAAGAGGTTCAGTTTTACAGTTATTATTATAGCTTATGTGCAGCTGTAGGGTCTGTGGGATCCTGAATCTCAAGGCCACCAGCATAACCCAGAAGTGATTTGTAGACACATCATCAGTGTATGATCGATCAGTCATTGATCACTCAGTTGCAGGCTGGAACGACACAGAGACATTTTATATAGGAGAGTCTAAAGAATGTCTCTGTGAATAACGTAGCAGTTAAAATGGTACTTAAGAATTAAATGGATTAATACAGGCTAGTTACTTTTCAGTTACAGTTATCTTCAAAGTTTTCTTAGTGGTTGTTAAATTAAGTCCTCAACAGT